ACTATAGCTCGTTTTATATGTAAGAGCAACAGCATTCCTCAGCTCATTTTCAGCAAATATCCAATCAATTTGCGTCAAATGTTTCGTAGTTGATTGGAATTAGATTAAATTCATTTAAAGCTTCCTCAAGTCGATCAGTGGTTGTGGATCTGCAAATATTAAAATCTCCTAAAATAACCAATTTGCTATTATTTTCTAAGCTGCGTATCCTTTCTACGTCCGACATAACTTCATTACGAAATTGAGCTATAGGAAACGTTGGATTCCTATAAACAACAATGAAGGATGTATTAAGATATTTGAAGGCAATTGATTGGTATATAGTTCTTGAGCTCAAAGACTTATTTGTCTCAAACAAGAAAACTACATTTTCGGCAATATTTTGCTTGGCATAAATCATAATTCCATTTTTGCCAATACCATTCAATCGATTGCTATCAATTCTTCTTATTATGTCGAAACCTTGGTAAGAAAAGTCTTCGCTGGGAAGAGTCCAAGTTTCGACAAAACAAAGAAAATTTGCACAACAAATAATAGGGTCGTTAAAAATATCTTCGCGATGGCTTCGAAGAGACTCAACATTATGGTAATAAAGGGAGATGTCTTCGTTTCTGTTAACCACAAAATCATAATGCGTAGTCAAAAACTTTTCCTCTCTTAACTTTTGAAGTTCGTCTTGGACATTTGGAGCTCCAAATCTTGTTGGAGCAACAAAGTCGCCTAGAAGAAAAAGTCCTGATGCGCTAGTGGCTCTGCTGCATCCAACATATAACGAAGCTCGCTTGATGCCTCTTTTAAGATGCACGGCGACTTTGCTATATGTTGCTCCTTGGCTTTTGTGGATGGTAATAGCCTCAGCAGGAACAATTGGAAATTGTTTTCGGTCAACAGAAGCATGCTCCGATCTTCCACATTGAAAAACTCGAGAGGCTTTTACTATTGGAGTCCATTCGGGATCGGGACTGTTCCGAACTTTTGATCTGGCGATAGCGCCAACCGTGGGTTCAAAAAATTTAATCCAAAGTCGCGTTACTAAATTTGAGCCATTCACTAAGCAATGGTCAATTAGCATCAGCTGACCAGTTGCTCCATTTACAAGTCCGTCACTTGTGTCTATATTGACGGTCACCATATATTTAGCAGTTGTTTTGAGATGAAGAACATATGGCAAGCCCTGTGTTTCAGAGGTTTTCATATTTTGAGCATATCTTAACGTGTTTTCTCTGTTTCGTGTAGATATGTTCGCAGTTTTCACTGTATCAACAGCAGTGGAAACCAATTCCTCCGTCCCAATTCGCGCTAGTTTTAGGGAATTGTAATTGTTAACTTCTTCGTTAGAAGAAAATAAATGAATGGCATCATCAGGAACTTCGCTGGGTGAAACAACTCTTTGTTTAAGGAGCTCCATATCTGCTATTGTCATGCAAGCCTCAGATAAATGATTTAGGGCTTGAGCAAATGCATGGTCGCCTCTTTGGCGCATTATTTCAGTAAGCTCAAAATACTTAAAGTTGTTCCATAAGCTATTTCCTGCTAAAACGCTATAAGGATTAATTGTCCTCTCCGAAAATATCCAACTGTCTCCAACTGGGGAAAGCTGCTTTAGATCTCTAAAAACTATAATTGATTTTCCACCAAAACTTAAGTCAGGGCTTCGGAATATTTGACGAAGCCGTTGATCCAAAAATGGAAGCATTTTAGAACCAACCATATAAATTTCATCAATTATAATCAGTTGGAGATCAATCAACTTGCAATGAATTGTATTTAAACTATCATTGCTTAAAGGTCTTAAGGGACCTGAAGCCTGATTAATTGGAAGAGAAAACACTGAATGCAGAGTCAGTCCTCCAATTCCAAAAGCAGCTTTTCCAGTCGGAGCACATAATAAAACCTTTGCTGAATCCGTAGCACCAGGAACCTTATTTGCTCGCCAAGTCACAGACTGATAGATGGTAGAAATCAGTCTGCTTTTTCCTACACCGGCCCCTCCACCAACATATTCGTAAAAAATATTTTTACAAACAACATTATGCATCACATGTGCATAATATAGTCTTTGTTTGTAGTTGAGGGACCGAGTTAGCGAGCAAAGGTCATCATTGGAAACTAACGGGGGGAGTCTAATTAATTGAAGTTCGCCGTCTTCTTCAGGGTTGTTTATCGCATTGTCATCCTGAAGAATATTTACGTTTCGCTCTATATTTGGTACAGCCAAAGCTCTAAACTCTTCGTCTAAAAATTGGGAGGCAGGTTCTTCCGCATCAGGAGCATTATCTCCCCTATCCTCTTGCAAATCTTCCAGAACTCTCTCTAACTCCATATCATCAAACACATCATAGTTCCTTTTCATTATCTTAATGGCTTCATGGTTTACTCGGAATGTGTTTGCAATGTCGTTGGAAAGAAGTTCAGCTTCTTCATTTCGCCAAGGATAAAAGAGCATTAAATGCTCTCGGAAATAATCGGAAGGTGAAGAGTTTATGCTAAAGCGAACCCACCTTAGAATCAGGGGATGCCTACGTTTCTTAACGCAACCAGACCCATCCAACAGTGGATAACTTTGCTCAGCAACTTCATCTTCGTCATCTACCTCCACATCATTTGCTTCATCATAGTCTTCCCTATGATTAGCGGCAGATCGTGCAATCCGCTTGACAAATCTGTACCAAGCTGCGAAATCTGCTAAACAAATTCCTTCCAACTGCTCATGCCTTTGCACATATCGGTCAAGAATATTACGCTCAAAAATATCCACCGAGTTGTTTGGAAGTCGCTCTAATTCTTCATTTGAGCGAGCCAATCGAACTCGTTTGTCTGGATGGCAAGTGTTTACAAAAATAGTACCTTCACTTGCCTCCGACATATGCAGCCCCAAAATATTGTAAGCTGCTTCTTGGGCCGATATTTCTGTAGCGTTAATAAACTTATTCCCTATGTGCTGTAATTTCCTTTTAATAGAAATATTCCCATGGCTTATTTCTGCCATGGCTTCACGGAGCAACTGCGATACGCCTCTGTTTGACTTGTTTATGTAGTTAATGATATAACTACAACAGGCGTACGCATCTAGGATAAATTGAATATCCATATTAGCTCTGTGTAAGCTTAGAATATCTCTATTATAAGCATTGAGCAGTCGGTCGGAGAATTGTCTGCGAAGAAAAATTTGTGGCTTTTTTAAGCTGGAACGTAAGGCTAGCTTGTAGGCTTCAAAATTAGTTTCAAGGTGGGACAGAAAATTATCAAAATTGTTAAACAAAGCTGCGTCTTCATTTGAAATAGTCCTTAAAGCTTCCTTAATTTTTTTAAACAAAGTTTTATGATCTTCAATATTGACTTCGTTTTCTTCTATTGGATGCAAAATAAGCGTTTCGGGCATAGGAGGATATGGCATATTGAATCGGCAGAACTCCTGTCCGCGTAACTCTCTTAGGCAAGAAGCACTATGCTTATGGCGTTGATACTGAATTACTTCTTGTAGTTCAGTATCGTCTCCATTTGTAGTAATAAACCTATCAATAAAGTTTATTACTTGCTCGGTATTTTCGGCGTCTTCGAGCTTAGGAGCACCAGCAAGCCAGTACATGCCATGAGAATGCGGAGATCCTCTGTGCTGGAACTCGATTCTCCAATAAAAATGAGAAAGATTAAATTCCCCAAAAATATCGGTTTTGAACAATTTCATTAATTGTCGCAACCTGTAATCGAAGTATCGAGAGCACGTCACTGGATCAGATCGGATTAACCGAGCCTTTTCGGAGCTGGAAAGAGCTGCCGCTTCTTCCTCGCTTATAGCCCTATTATCCAATAGAAGAGACAGGATAACTAAAAGTTCATTCCACTTAGTTTCAGCAGCGGAAAGAGTTATGAAAAACGTTGGCAGCCCAAATTGTCGAATCATGGCTATAACTTTTTTTTCTCAGCCTCCCAATGAGCTGGTGCAGACCGTAAGCCTTTTAGGATGTGGTAGCCATCATCATGTTGCACAAGACGGTCAACAAATGATTCATCCCGCAGATTACCAGCGGTAACCGCTCCCGACTTTTTGCGTAAAGCAATTGAAATTGAATTTTGTATGCGCTGCATTTCGTAAAATTTATACATGTATAAAACTTTTGGAACTACAGCGCAACGACGGTCGTAAAAACGGATTTGGGATCTGGCTTTTTCGCATAGGTTGTATTTCCTTTAAATATTTCTCCGCAAGAAATAGTTGGAAAGGAAAGTTCCTCTGCGTCTTCGTCAAGCGTTAAGCTTGTTGGCCGGCGGCCTTCACCCGGTGCCAATGCAATGCGCTGAATTGCAGTATCATTATTTTCCAATAATGTTTCATGGCCTCCGGGATTTAAATTGTCTTCGAGCTCTGCAGCATTTTGGGAGTGGTGTTGCTGGTGAAGAAGTTGCTCTACTGCTTCGCGATCAGATTCGTCAGCAATAAAAGGAATTTCATTAATTCCTTGAAGTTCTGTTAGCCAGGATTCGTTTAGTGAAATGTTGTGCTTTCTGTAGAGCTCGGTATTCACTAAGTACCGTACAGCTTCAAGAACCCGAGCGGGTCTAATAGTTTCAGTCATGAAATTGTGAGCGTACTCTAGTCTCCTTTTTAAATGGACTTGGATGACATGGGTAGAGTCGAAAGAGCGTGGAAGCGCAGTCACAATATCGGGAACTGAAATTGGAACATTCACCACTGCCCCTCTGATTCCACATTGCCTTTCATAGCCGAGGGAAATAATCCTCATAAAAGGGATTCTCGGTGAAATAAGGCGTTCTTCGAGGCAGGTGAGTCCATTTAAGCACTCAGGGATTTCTGGGAAATCGAACCCATTAGAAAGGCAGAGTGATGGGAGTTTGCCAAGAGAAATGGCACGACGACAAGTGTGGCAAAAGTTATATTTGCCGGACGGACTTGGAAATTTTCTTGACAAATAAAAGGCGTTGCCAACGTTTAGGAGAGGAAATTTAGAGGAGATAGCCAAGATGGATAATCCACTTACCTGCGAACGGAACCATGTTCCTCCACAGCAAATACAAATAGCCGTTGGGCCTTCCTTAATGTTCCTGTGGTACAAATCCCTCGCTGATGATCGAATCCTATTTCGCTGTTGTCCTCGTTCCTGTTCCAGTTCATCCTCCGAAAGTTGAGCTCTTGCGTCCATGTTTCTTTGCGACTGCCTTTGGGAGGCATCGAGTCGATTTTGTGAGTCCATCCTAAAGTTTAATAACCGATCCTCTGCCATTTGCCGAATTTGTTCTTCCCGAATCCTCCGCTGTTGTCGTGTTTCCCGGCGTTGTGATGTGTTTATCCGTTGCTCCTGTGATCTAGCGATGGGATTTCTCCTGGTTGCTCTCCTGTTATCGGCGTCCCTTTCCCGTTCTCGCTGCCTGTCTTCCATATCCCTTCGTCGCTGTCGGTGCTCTCCAGTGTTCCTTTCCTGTTCCCTTGCACGTTCCTCTGGGTCCTCGCGATGAGCAGCTCGTGCTGCGGCATCCCGAATTCGCTCTGAAATTCGAAATTCGGGATTGTTCCTCCGAGAGGCATGGTCAGCAGTATTTTGCACCTGCTCTTGTCGCCGTTCCTCGGTGACCTCTCGACGAATAGCACGCGCTCCGGCGTCCCGTACCCGTTCAGGATTTCGGTACTCCGGAATAGTCCTCCGAGTAGAGTGCTCAGCAGTGTTTCGCAACTGCTCTCGTCGTCGCTCCTCGGGGTCCTCTCGACGGATCGCGTGTGCATCCATGTCCCGAACCCGTTCAGGATTTCGGTACTCCGGAATAGTCCTCCGAGTAGAGTGCTCAGCAGTGTTTCGCAACTGCTCTCGTCGTCGCTCCTCGGGGTCCTCTCGACGGATCGCGTGTGCAGCCATGTCCCGAACCCGTTCAGGATTTCGGTACTCCGGAATAGTCCTCCGAGTAGAGTGCTCAGCAGTGTTTCGCAACTGCTCTCGTCGTCGCTCCTCGGGGTCCTCTCGACGGATCGCGTGTGCATCCATGTCCCGAACCCGTTCAGGATTTCGGTACTCCGGAATAGTCCTCCGAGTAGAGTGCTCAGCAGTGTTTCGCAACTGCTCTCGTCGTCGCTCCTCGGGGTCCTCTCGACGGATCGCGTGTGCATCCATGTCCCGAACCCGTTCAGGATTTCGGTTCTCCGGAATAGTCCTCCGAGTAGAGTGCTCAGCAGTGTTTCGCAACTGCTCTCGTCGTCGCTCCTCGGGGTCCTCTCGACGGATCGCGTGTGCATCCATGTCCCGAACCCGTTCAGGATTTCGGTACTCCGGAATAGTCCTCCGAGTAGAGTGCTCAGCAGTGTTTCGCAACTGCTCTCGTCGTCACTCCTCAGAGTCCTGTCGACGGGTTGCACGTGCCTCCATATCCCGAGCCCGCTCAGAAACACGATAGTCCAGGTCCTGTCGACGATTCGAATGCCTTGCAGCATCCTGAACGGATTTCTGGGTTAGTCCTCCGAGATGCATGCTCAGCAGTGTTTCGCAACTGCTCTTGTCTTCGCTCCTCAGAGTCCTCCCGACGAGTTAAATGCGCTTGTGCGTCCCGAATCCGTTCAAGGTTGCGAACCCGACTTTCCTCCCGAAAGTTAGGGTTATTGCCGCGAACATTGGCGATATGTTGAGAGTTCCGAGCTCTTATTTGGGACGCATTCCTTTCATAGCGGGCTCTACTGCGGCTTAAAGCTGCTTGGCGGCGTTGCTCCTGGGACAAGCGTGTTACACGTGGCATTTCTAATAGCGCTGCATGAAAAAATAAAAATTATGGAATGATAGCATATAAAATCACCTACATGGAATGCCGTCCACGGCTATAATAAGATTTTAGGAGAATTTGAAAGTTAATGAGTTATTAGCGAAATATACTTACCAAAGTTTGTGTTTCAAATATTACTCGAAAACAATTTTTTAATTTTACCACTGATACAAATTACTTTCTCACTCTTTTGCACTGTTAAAAATACTTCCGCTCTCTTTAAATTTTTGCACTTGAAAAAATACTTTTCACTAACTGGCAGAGTAACGTCGTCACTCTATAAATTTTTTCATCGACTGATCTACGAATTATAGGATTTCTGAATATATAATCAAGTTAGGTAATATCCCAAATAAAAATGAATTGTCCCATGACCCTTTTAAGGTTCTCTAGCTTGACCCTTTTCAAAAAGGCAATGAAAATGCATTTTTTATGTATCTGGCTACCTGTTGTGCAATTTAGGTCCTAATTTGTAGTGCTATTTTTTCCGATTCGACCATCAAAAAAGGGTATACCTGATATTGTACAGTTACAAAGCCACTCCTTAAATTGCACTCATACCTGCGTTACCGGTTGCGCAATGCAGGTTCTTTGCACAATTCTTGCCCCTTGCACGTGTTCATTGAACCAATTAAGGGTTTGCCAAATTATACCTGCTTATAATGGAAAAATCCCGTGGATTTCTTTGAATGAAATGTCTCTGTTATCTAAAAAGTAAAGGGTTGTAAACTTAAGCGTTACTGTCACTCCTTTGCATTATAAAAGAGGCTGAAAGGGTAGATATGTTAGAATGCATCATATGAATAATTTTGGAGAATATAATTTACAGTATGTTCTGCAAGGGTATATCAACTTCGGCTCCGCCCGAAGTTAGCTTTCTTTTCTTGTTTTTATTTTTTTTATTTATCTTTGCTTTTATTTATTAAAGACTAACAACTAATTTTGAGACTAACAATAAGTTTACGAATCTTAACATTAAAATTTAACTAACAGTATAATAAGACTGCATTCTGGCTGCGCGTCCCTCAAGTCGGTCGCTGGGTGGGTAGGTCATTGCGACGAAGGCGTTATTGGTTGATCAACCTTGTAAGACCTCTCGCTAGGTGGTTAGGGTGCAACGATAGCTTGGTAAAGTACTTTTCCTTCTGTTCTGCGATCGCTTCTTTGACTGGTAGAATGTTTAAGTCGCGATGTATGTTTTCGTTGCGAACGTACCACGGTGCCCCGGTGATTGTTCTCAAGATCTTCGACTGAGCTCGCTGGACTATGTCAATATTGCTATTGCTGGCATTCCCCCATAACTGAGAGCCGTACATCCATAAAGATTTTAGTACCGAGTTATACAGCAGCACTTTATATTCAAGACTAAGGGGAGACCGAGCGTTGATAAGCCAATGAAGGCTACTGGCTTTTAGCTTTAGGTGTCTTCTTTTGGCTTCAATGTGCCGGCGCCATGTGAGTCGAAATGGGTCATGTACTTCAAAATTCGTCTTACAAATATCAAGGTCAATAGGTCGAAAGTAACGAGTAGACCTTACAGGGATGGAGAACCGTATTTGACCCAGTAGGTAGCTTGAATTTACAAGACCAGTTATTAACTTATGAAGGAACATGACACCGTGACAGGTTCGACGATCCTTGAGGGAGGGCATGTTCAGTAGACGCAGTCTATCCACGTAAGATGGTAGGTGACGATGTGTTTCCCAGTTTAAACCACGTAAAGCAAACAAAAGGAACTGTTTCTGTACCGATTCGATAAGGTCTTGATGATTGGTATATTGAGGAGACCAAACACACGAGCAGTATTTCAGAATTGGACGAACCAAGGAAATATATAAGTGTTTCGTGGTATAGGGATCCTCAAATTCCTTAGACCAACGTTTAAAAAGGCAAAAACCCCTTTAGATTTACTAACAATAGTGCCAATGTGACCAGAGAAGTTTAAGTTGTGGTTGAATAACACTCCAAGGTCTGTTACGGAATTTATGTGTTCAAGATCATTCGACCCAATAGAATATGAGGTGAGGAGCAGCCTCTTCCCATAAAAGGACATCAATTTACATTTCGAGTTATTTAAAAACAGGAAATTCTGGATGCACTAAGAATGAAATTTGTTCAGATCGGCTTGCAAGAGATCATGGGAATTGGGGTTCGATAATGGCAAACAAAGTTTTACGTCGTCAGCATACATCATAACACAAGAAGAGAGAACTACTTGAGGCAAGTCATTTATGAAAATTCCAAACAGTAGGGGTCCTAGGTGGCTCCCTTGCGGAACACCAGAATTCACGTGAGCAGAGTTTGAGATTGTGCTTTTAAAAGCTACTCTCTGAGTCCGGTTCGAAAGGTATGTTGAAATCCACTTATTCAACATGATCGGGAATCCTAGTAATGTTAGTTTTTTTAATAATAACTGATAGTTCACGGAATCAAAAGCTTTACTGAAGTCCGTAAAAATAACATCAGTTTGAATGTTATTTTTAAAAGCGCTTCTAATGACTGAGGTAAATTCCTAAAGATTTGTAGTCGTTGACCTACGTTTCATAAAACCATACTGAGTTGGGGACATTACTGAGCTGCATTGGTGCTGTAGCTGAGCGGTAATAAGCTGTTAAAAAAACTTGGGGATCGCGCTCAGTTTTGCAATACCGCGGTAGTTTTTAATGTCCGATTTGCATCCTTATTTATGAAGTGGAATGATAAACGATTCCTTCCAAACTTCAGGGAAAAACGAATAAAGGAGGGATATCTGAAAAAGTTTAGATAAAGGTTTGCACAAAGCTACGGCACATTTTTTTATAAAAAGACATCTTGATTGTTTTCAGATTTTATGAGTCATCATCCTCACTAAGGGCGTGAAAAAACAGTTGGAGTGAGGAAGTGGGTAGGGGTAGGATGAAGTGTCATCGTAACTGAAAGACGAGTACGTGGACTGGAAAAATTTTGCAAATAAGTTCGCAATATCGGCGTCACTAGAGGCAGATGTCGTATCAAGGTGAAGACAAGTTGGAAATTGTTGCGCGATTTTCGTTTCGAATTAACAAATGCGTAGAACTGCTTGGGGCTATTTTGGAATTCTATTCTGCAACGGTTTAGGTAACCATTGTAACATACGGAATTATGGACTGAGAAATTTGAACGAGCTATTAGATACATCAAAAGGTCAACTTGGAGCCCAGTTAAATTTCTTAAAAAGTCTAGACTTGGAATTTGTCAGGAAAGAGAGTCTACGAGAGAACCAAGGGGGCTTTTGAGGCGCGTTTGCAGAGGGAAATGAGGGAACGAACGTATCGAAAGCAGAGTAGAGTATACCATAAACCTGTTCTACAATATGTAAGGGATTATCGTTTGAATCCATAAAAGACCAGTCGAGTTCCGATAAATGCCTATTCAATTCTGCGAATTTAGCTCTTCGAATACAGCGAAAAG